TGGAAAATATGCGCTGACCGGCAGGATTCGAATCTGCCTCAGGTCAGAGGAACCGTCATTAGATCCGACTTGCATTAACCGACTCGGCTACGAGAATTCTTGCCGATCAAGCAATATATATATATATATATATATATATATATATATATATATATATATATATATATGAATATTTTTCTCTTATCTAACGTAAAGAAACAATTTTAATGAATACTGGATCTTTTATTTATTAATCCGTCTAATATCCGCCACTTCGAGTATTCAGGCCGTTAGACGAAAATAAATAAATATACTACTTAAATATATATATATATATATATATATATATATATATGTTTATATTTGATTTGTAACCTGTAGTCGATATTAATTTGGTCAAATTTTCTTAATTACACAACGGCCCTTTCAGTAAATGCTCTTCAGTTTTAGTTCCGTCCGCCCCATCTCTCTCCCCCACGCCTTTTTCTTTTCTTTTCCTCTCCCTCCCTTATCTTCTGATCTTTAAGATTAGATCGTCTATTGTGTGTGTATGTCACCACAAAATGTATCCTTTCCGGTTACATCTTTAATGTATTAGACATCCGACAATATTCATATTCTCTCACTTAAACCGTCTTCAACTCCACCTCTCTAAAACTTCTCTCTGTTAAGTTTTAATCTCCCCCTTCTCTTCGCCTGTTACTCCTCTCATAGCTCTAACATTCGTCCCACACTCTCATACTTACACTCTCTCTAAATTCTATTTTTTATTTCCAGAGTTGTTTTTTCTGTTTTCTTTTTGAATTTGCAGATCTGATGAATTGGATCGTATTTACGATTCCAATGGAATAAATTATGACCATGGAATATTAGTGCTTAAGCCTTTTTATTATATCCTTACTCTGTCCTGAGTTCGACCTGGATTCTATCCTCTTGGAATTTTTTTATTAAAAAAATATATATGTATGTGTATGCGTGTATGTGTATATATTTATATATTTTACATATGTATGTGTATATTTACCACTAAACTTATATATATATATATATATATATATATATATATATATATATATATATATATATATATAAATTAAAATAGTAAAAAAACAGTAAGATTGTGGATTTTCCGACAGTGGATTTTAAGTTTTTTATAATTAAATTTACAACTTTAGTTTTACTCTTGAAACAGAAATTTCTGTGTTGCAATGGAATCATAATTTTAAAAGTATATATATATATATATTATATAATTATTTTATAATATATATATATATATATATATATATATATTATATAATTATTTTATAATATATATATATATATATATATATTATATAATTATTTTATAATATATATATTATATAATTATTTTATAATATATATATATATATATATATATATATATATATATATATATATATATATATATATTACTTTGAACGTTATTATTTGTTGATACTGCTATTTGAAATAGACGCGGCATTTTTATTTTTACTTTAAAACCTATGTATTACGTATATTAGCCTGCGCGCTCAAAAAAATCTCAATAAAGATTTGCCCTCCGGCAGTATTCGATATATATATATATATATATATATATATATATATATATATATATATATATATATAAATATTGTTGTTGTACATTGGGTAGAGATACTTGAGTTGCTATACGTGTTTTTTTATTTTTATTTTCTTAATCAGTGAAATGAATAAAATCGCCCTATGTCGTTATTTACTATTTAGAATAAAATAACATTTACATTAATAAGAAACAATGTTGCATAAAAATAGCTTCGGGATAGAGTCTCTGACTGATGCCAAATCGGTCGAGTTACGATTACGGCTTGAAGCAGTCGGATGCTTAGCCACATTGATGAGCTGCGTAACAGTCCTATATATATATATATATATATATATATATATATATATATATATATATATATATATATATATAAAGCGCATCATATAATTATTGATCCCACATAAAGTTTAATATCTAAAGCCATCACTAAACGAATTGAGGGTTTTTTTTTTCATGTTTTCAAATAAAGTAGCCATCTTGACACCAACTGAGCAATGGTGAGAGGAAAATATAATTCAGGCCACCAGCAATGGTAACAACATTCATGCTCTGGCTTCCACCTTCAAAGTCTATTCAAGATCCATCAAGGGAACAGTGAATAAGTCTTAAAAAGTGTATAGTAGAGAGGAAAACTGGATCAGGAGGTCACAACAAGAAGAGGGACCATCATTTCAACATAGAATTAAAGACATCAATTAGAAAAGATCCAACTTAGTTCATAGTACTTTTGGCACGTGAGAGAGGAGGGAAAAAGTTTTGAAAATGAAATCGTAAGTGAAACGAGTAAGGCAACTTTTTATTCCAGAACAGAAAGTTAGAAGTTTACAGAGGGCGAGAGTCATCTTGAATAAGCTGAAAATGCTCATGGAATAATATATATATATATATATATATATATATATATATATATATATATATATATATATATATATATATTTTTTCCAATCCATCAGGAGCTTTCGACCCTTAGCTATGATTAATTAATGAACATGTCATTTTTATTTATGATCGATTTCATCTCGATTCTTCTGTTAAGCTTGGAGAGTAGATATATATTCTTATTTCTCAAAGTAGAGTCCAAGAGTTTTCTAAAAACCTCGGAGAATTACAAATAAATAAAAACAGTTCAAATCATAATCTAACATTTGCAAATTTTTTCTTACACCCGGCATATATATATATATATATATATATATATATATATATATATATATATATATATATATATATATATATATGTATAATAAAAAGGCTTAAACACTAATATTCCATGGTCATAATTTATTCCATTGGAATCGTAAATACGATCCAAATCATCAGACCTACAAATTCAAAATGAAAAACAAAAAAAAAAAAAAAAAAAAAAAAAAAAATCCAAATCAAAACAGAATTTAGAGAAAGTGTAAGTATGAGGAGGAGGGACATGAAACCTTAACAGATAGAATTTTAGAGATGTTTCTTTCTCTCCTTTTTAAATTCCCCACATCTCCTAAAATTCTATCTGTTAAGGTTTCATGTCCTCCTCCTCATACTTACACTTTCTCTAAATTCTGTTTTGATTTCCGGAGTTGTTTTTTTCTGTTTTCTTTTGAATTTGTAGGTCTGATGCTTTGGATCCTATTTACGATTCCAATGGAATAAATTATGACCATGGAATATTAGTGTTTAAGCCTTTTTATTATATCCTTACTCTGTCCTAGACATTGAGTTCTACCTGATCCTTCCTCTTGGATAATTTTTTTTTTTCTGAAAATATACATGTATAAATTTTTTTTTATATATATTTTGCATATGTATGTATATTTTCCACTAATATTATCTATCTATCTATCTATATATATATATATATATATATATATATATATATATATATATATATATATATATATATATAAAAGGACTATAGAATATAAATAATAACATAATATAAGGACTCTCCCGTCGTATTCGACGTATGAGGGTCATGTAGCTCAGTTCCTGGGAACCGACAGTCCAGAGACCAGCACATATGTTTTGATTATAATGGTAAAGACTTTGAGCAGAACTAACCACACTTATTGAAGGGCCGAATACAGAGACCTGGTACACTACGTGCCACAAGGTCCCCAAACGACCCTCCGCAGGTTTTGAATTCAGAGTTGTCCTTCTCTTTTACCTGTTGCCATCCAAGGCTATAGAACCCAGTCTGTCCTGCTATTTATCCATAGCTAGAGGGAGAAGAGGAGGATTAATACATTTCCCAAGGGTATAAGCACGTGAGTGAATGTAATGGATTCGACTGGAATACGAAGTCGGCTCAATTCCACAATCGGAGTCGCTATCCACTACTCCAGCGTGCCCCCTTATATATATATATATATATATATATATATATATATATATATATATAGAGAGAGAGAGAGAGAGAGACAGACAGACAGACAGACAGACAGACAGAGAATTAATTATTTTTATTACATTGAATAACTAAATATAATTTATAACCATAACTTTATGCAATGCAGCGTGTCCTCGACTTACGACATTTTACGCGTAAGTCGGAACATAATGCTGAAACAGAGCGGATGCACAATCCAATATGGCGTACACCAGGAACGGTCACACGCTACCTTCCTCGCTTTAACGCCGTATAACGACGTATTCTTTCACCGCACACTGACGCCGCATCAAGTATTCCTCTGCCGCGCCCAATATACTTCCTATTGCTTTAAAAAAAAATTCCAGTTGGAGGAACATATCTCATTCGTGTTTTCATTGAGTATGTTGCATATTGGGGTTGGTACAATTCCATACTGGTTTAAATGTGTCCTTATTGAACTCAGATCCGAGACTTGTACGGTCAGACGTCTTGGCAGCCTACTGTATATCTAAATAAATTCCTTATCATCTGGTTTTCTTTTCGTTTTTCATGTAGCTTCCTTACTTTAATCCTTCACACCCTTTCTCTTTCCTTCTTTTTATCTTTTCCCAATTCACTCCCGCTTAATAATATTGTATCGGTTTCTCGACCAGAAAGTATAACTGATTGCAGCTTAGAATAGTTGAGAAAGTACTATAATCTAGTCGTATTTAGTTATGTATAACAATCATACATACGGATGAGCAACAATACAAACGTAGAAGCATATAATAAATAGCATAGATAATAATTTATTGGTCGAGGTGAGTAGAAGACACGTACTAATTTCGATCATTAGTCTTATTGATATGCCGTTGATGTAGCTCGAGTGGTTAGAAAAAAAATGAGACAGCCAATGAAAAATGGTGGAAGGAAGACGCTTCTGTAGAAGAAAAAGAAATGTAAAAAATAGTAAGATGCATTAAGAAGGAAAAAAAAAGAAAAATTACAAATAAAAAAGTATATAAAATAAGAGGAAAAGAGATCACAGAAAGAACAGAAATGAAAATGAGAGATTTTAGTATCGGAAAAAACGAGAAAGTAAATACATAATCAATAGTGTTAACTGGAATAAGAAATGGAAAAATAGATAGAAAGAAATTTAGAGAAAAGAAATATAAAGAAAATAAAGAAAGAAAGAAAAAATCGAGAATGAGAGACAAAATGGAAATAATATAGAAAGAAAGAAAATTATAAGACAGTAGAAAGGCAATGAATAGAAAGAAAGACAATAAATAAAACGTCAATCGTAAGAAAGATGGGAAGAAAGAAAGAGAAGAAGAAAGAAAGGAAGGCAGTAAACAATATGAAGAAAGAATGAAACAGAAAATAGAAAGACAGAAGAAAGAATATAAATAATAAGATAATAGAAAGAAAGAAAGAAAGAAAGAAAGAAAGAAGGAAGGAAGGAAGGAAAGAAAGAAAGAAAGAAAGAAAGAAAGAAAGAAAGAAAGAAAGAATGAATGAGTGGACAGTTCACGAAGAAGTTGTAAGATATCTTCGAGAGGCTGACAGGATATTTAGGCAGCTAGTTTCATTGTTCTTATTCTCCTTTCTCTCGCAAATAATTAGATTCAACACAACTTGTAAATCGCGATAAAAGGCTGTGCCGTTTCTCACAAAATGGTTGATGAGATATCTGGCAAGACATTTCTTTATTTTAATTCTTCTTACTCTAGCACCAAATGTGATAGTGATCCATAAGATTGTAATGAAGACAGTGAAAGCAATGATTGTCCCGGTGAAACTAGCCTGATATCTCACTAAAATTTCGCCATAATAAATATCCCGGTCTCAAATGGCTAAACCGAATTCTATTACATGATTAAAGATTCTTAAAGAGCCTTTGTGAGTCCGTTCGATTATCGTCTGTTTGTTTTACCAAATTTTTCATTTATTTCAACAAATATTTGTTTTCCCAAGTTGCTAGCAGAAAAGGTAAAACAAGGTGTATGTTGCAAATTGGGTTCATCAAAATCAAGTTTCAGGATAGTTTCGTAACCCACGATGGAAAACATAACACAGAAATCTGAAGGTACACAAAAATAGTCAACGATGCCTTTCGAAAACGTAAATGTATTAAGGGATATGAAAATGTTCTTAAAAAACAAAGAAACGAGTGCTAAACTGCTATGCAATATCGAATCTTCAAATTTTCAGAATAGACATTTAACCATCGTGACACCATTTGGCGTAAGAATCACCGAAAAACATTTTGAGTTATTCAGCCAGAAAGAGAACATGTTACAATCATTATGTGTCAGATTCACTGTCGTCCCAAATGACCGATGGTAATAGGAAAGACATCAATTAGGCCTTCAATACTGATAACAACATTCATATTTTGGTTTCCATCTTCAAAGTCTATTCAAGAACCATCAAGTGAACGATGACTAAGTTTAAATAGGCGGGAACATTAGAGAGGAAAACTGGATCAGGCGGTCACAAGAGAAAGAAGGATCATCATTTCAACTTAGAGCTACAGAGATCTATTAGAAAAGATCAAACTCAATCTATAAGACGTTTGGCACGTGAGAGAGGAGTTTTAACTATGTCCAAATAGTAGTGAAAAAGACTTGACAACGAAATCGTACGGGAAACGTGTGAGGCAGCTTGTTACTCAAAACAGAAAGTTAGAATGTTACACAGGGCAAAGATCATCTTTAATAAGTTGGAAAATGATGTTAGCATAATATATATATATATATATATATATATATATATATATATATATATATATATATATATACTTGAATTTTATTTCAATTCTTCATGAGCTTCCGATCTTTAGCTATGATTAATAAATAATGAACATTTTAATTTAAGATCGATTTCATCAGGATTCTTCTGTTAAGCTTGGAGAGTAATTATACATTCTTATTGCTTAAAGTAGAGTCCAATAGTGTTATAAAAACCTCGGAGAATTCCAGTAAGATATCTTTAATCATTTCAACGTTTCCGTGTAAGAAATGGACAATTTTGGAAAATTTTGCTGTTATTCTCTCTCTCCCCCCCACTCTCTCTCTCTCTCTCTCTCTCTCTCTCTCTCTATATATATATATATATATATATATATATATATACATATATAAATATATATATGCGTGTGTGTCTGTGTTTGTATGTGTTTTATGTATCATGTTACAAAAACAATAGCGAACTCAAATTTGACGTCTACAAAAAGGCTTCCATCATAAATTATGTGGTCAACTTCTACTCCAACCAATCCTATAAAATTAAATCTTGTATAATAGGTTTCTACTTAAGAGCATTAAGAAATTGCAGCCCCAATATCTACCGAAGCCAGAAAGAAACATAGAAAACTAATTCAAAAATTTACAATATCCTTATCATTTAATCCACAAAGTAAAGAGGAAGGCATAAAGAATACACGACCGCAACAAAAATAAAATAAACAAAAACAGATACATAGTACTAACTAAGAACTCCATAACATCCACTATCCAAAACAACTTCTGATAACATGCAAATAATCACAACCACTTCCAAAAGCATTATGTATATGATCGCAACAAAAACATCCATAATAACCACAATAATTCAAAAACAGGCATATATAAAATAGATAGCTAAATCTGTCCTTCACAATACAATGGGGAAATAAAAAAAAGTATCTATAAATGAAAAAGTCACAATTCAATATATGCACTAGCCATTCACAGAAATAAATCGAAACATAATTTTGATCTAAATAAAAAGCATACACATCTATAAAGAAAGTAATCTACTCAAATGGAAAAATTGTCGGGAGTGCCGCCATCGAATATTATCAAAATATATATCTAGGAAGCGTTTCCTTCCAAAAACACCTTTCCTGGAAGAATTACTACTTTCCCAAGCAAGCCAACATAAATAAGAACAAATAGGCGGAAAAATACGGTTAAATCCATCGCTTCAGACTTTTTTACAGCAAAAATCTTCATCTCATGACAATAATCTAATCACAATCCAAACAATATTGATTTAAAAATTAAATATTTTATATTATTCGTTCACATTATTTTTATTAGATTTAACTTGATAAAGTCCCCCAGATGACGAAACGCGTTGTCTAAGAGTAGTTTTTCTTCTTGTCTCTTTTTATTCATATATATATATATATATATATATATATATATATATATATATATGTGTGTATGTGTGTGTGTGTGTGTGTGTGTGTAGCTGGCCACTTATATTCGAGGATAACTGTCTGCTAGGGCAACTAGCCAATCCCTATTTTTCTTTATTCAACACCCAAAGAGCCCACTCTTGGTTTATACTGCAGCTATGCTGAGCAGAACCTAGCTACAATTTCTGAGAAAGAGCCTGTTATCTAGAGTGAATAGCACTTTCCAAAGGTGCCGCATATTGGAATCAAGCCCTTCTTTCCGATAACAACAAGAAGTCGACCAGGGTGAGATTCTCGTTGTCAGAATACGAACGTTCTAAGCACTCGGGAACGTGCCCAATACATACCTACCTATATATATATATATATATATATATATTACATGAATCATTCATACAAAAAGTAGATTAAAAAGTTAATGATATAAATGGCGAAAAACATTTTCGCATACAAATTTATTAAAGTTACATTAACCTACGAACCACTCGATGAACGTTATGATCCTTGTTTTTAATAACTTCAAGTTGTATAAGGTCTTTTTTTATTCTGCTAGTACTTTCGGCTATACTTACAGCCATCCTCAGGCATGGAAATTAATTTGTTTTTTAGTAAATCCAGGTAGTAGCGGGACACGAAAGATTAAATGCGAATCGAAATATGTTTTTTTTAGAAATGTGTTATTGTTAACGGATAAGAAATTTTGTAGCGTGCACTCGCAACGCTAAGGTTGAATTTTGTTTTTTGTTTTTTTGAAAATTTAAGAGAGTGCGTTTTTTTTGTTTTTTTTTTTACTAATATGGTAATTTGAGAATTTTTTTTTTTTGTTCTAGGGGTTTTTCAGTCAATGTGGCAAGAACTAAATTGTTCAATAAATAGAGTAAGTTTGCAGCTGTTATCCCGAAAATTCGCACGTCGGATCAGTTCTTTTTTAAATCAAATATGTGGTGCAGTTCAATTTATATTACTTGAATCATTCATACAAAAAGTAGATTATATTTGTAGAGAGGGAGAGGGATAGATAGAGGGACAAAAAAGAGAGTTCGAGGATAAATTGTCGTCTAAATTACGCAAAAATGAAAATAACACTGACATCAGATTTTAACAGATATATTTACCAAAACTACACCAAAATATCTTGAAATATTAAAGGGCAAATTTCTTCAATAAAATCGCAATTGACTATTTCGAAATCTCCTACAACTCATCTGGACAGTCTCTTTTTGAAGTTGGTGAATCCTTGCTTCAGTTCATTTTTGGTTTTAGATGGTGATTTCTTGGTTTCTCGTTCTTGTACACCTCATACATAATAATCAAGAGGGTAGCAGGAGACAGTTTAGATAAATTATACATATACCTGAATTGAGTTTTGCCCAGTCATGTGCTTTCGTATGAATCGATACAGAATCGCTGTACTCATGGTCGACATTCATACGATTTGTAACTATTTGTCGTTCTCATGCATCTAATATATATATATATATATATATATATATATATATATATATATATATATATATATAGAGAGAGAGAGAGAGAGAGAGAGAGAGAGATTATTAGTTTCTTATGTGTACAGAATTTTATTATGGAAATAAAAACGGCAAGACAAATTTACCATTCATGATTAAAAAAAAAGTCCAGACAGCAGTTCCCTAAACAGAGGGAATGTCTGTTAGGGCTTGACATTATTCCCATCTGATAGTTCTGCGTTTATTTCATCACATGTTTCTATATATTTCGTCACATGTTAATATTTTCAAAAGGACTCAAAAGGACTTCAGAATCTCTTACAACTCTTCTGGACAGTCACCTCGTTAAAGTTTTCAATACTGCCATAACTCTTGCCTTCAGTTTATTTTGGTTTACAAGGAGTTATGTTGGTCGCTCCCCACCCACGACTCACACATAATAATCAAGGGGGTTGCAGTCTGGGGAGTTAGGTGGCCAGATGTAGGGAGGGATTTGGAGCTAGAAATTGTCTGACTGCCATGACTGTGTTCTCCTGCTTGTATGGCATGATGCAAAGTTCTGTTGCCAGAGTTTTCCAGCAGCTACCCTCTTTACTCAGGGTAGCACTACCTCCTCAAGGTACTTGATGTAGGCCTCCGGGTTGGGTCTGAGTCTCAGTGGAAAGTTAAATAAAGGCATAACGTCATCATCATTTGTGATCACTCCATCCGAATCCTCTGCACCTAAACACTCTAAAATATTAGTATTGAAAATTCCGGTGCGAATGGCAAAGCAGTGGAGCATGTCGTTTCCAAAATACTGGCGAAATGGACTGCGTCATGGTGCACTTTTTTTTTCACAGACGGTGCATGACTGACTCTACTATACTTTGCAATCGACAAAATCAAAAACAGTCAATGCGCATTCGCGAAATTAAAAATATAATATGCCGACAATTTCCCATTATATATATATATATATATATATATATATATATATATATATATATATATATATATATATATATATATCAGATATTAGATAGCAAAGACTATATAAACAAAAAAAGTCTGAAAATATATTTGAATTCTGGTATACCTCTTGGATTTTTTAGTCTTTTACTTTGTTTATATATTCTAGTTTGGTCTTTTTTTTATATAGTTTCTTCGTGGAAAGCAGTCTTAGTTGTCTCCTCCTGGAACTCCTCAACTATAAAAGAAATGGTTGAACCTCACTTATGTGCAGTAGTTAGTACTATCCCAAACGTTACTTTTTTCTTTATTGTTTTCTTTTGTTTATGGTTTGTTCTTTTTTGAATTTACGAACTCACTATTCAGCCGTAATTTATCTATCAAGACATGCTTGCTAGCCATTGCCCCATATCGATGGGCCCAAAGTGATGTACTACGCTTACTATTGATTTGGCACAAGGCCGAATGTATGGGGCACGTAGTGAGGATGAAAATCACTATTCAGTCGTAACTGATCTAGAGAGACAAGCTTGATAATCATACGCCACGTCGAAGTGTCCAGCTTGTGCAGATAGATCGCAGACTAAGGTTTGGGAGGAATAGTATAATTAAATAAACATTGCGAAGTGCTAAAAAAAGAATAGGCTGTTGTGGAGAGTCATGATCGCCTATATCCTGAGGGGACACGGCATACAGAAGAATTAATTATCCGTATGAAAACGCGTTCATTTTTAAAAAAAAATATACTCTCTCTTACGGCTTTAAGTATTTCCTCTCTCCTTTTTTTTTCTCTCTCTCTCTCGACATTTCTTTTCCATGTACTTTTTGCAGAGCAGAAAGAAACGTCCACAAATTCATTTTTCACATCTAGACAGAAATCCAGCGATATGAAATAATAATAATAATAATAATAATAATAATAATATTAATAATAATAATAATAATAATAATAATAAAAGAAAGAAAAAATATCCCAGAAAATTGGAAAATACTGAAATTTAAAAAAAAAAAGAAGAACGTGTGTAGAGATGTCTTCGGAATTAGCGATTGGAACTAGAGCCGAAACTGTCAGAGACCATATTAGTTCTTTACAAATTTTACTTCTTGCATCTCTGTCTTCTGTTTGCAAATACGGTCGACTGTGTTTGACACTTTCGGGATAGATATTTCGAAACTCCGTAATCCTTCTGCGTATGGCTGTCCGGTCGTTTCAATCCCCACCCCGATCGTCTTACATTCTCCAAGTATCCCTCTCAAAACCTTACCCATAATGCACTTAGGCCCGCCCATCCGCTGCACTAGCCCCTGACCTCCCACGCGCTCACGGCTTTTCTGAACATGTTGGAGTATCTTCCTCCAATGACGGCCGAGCGATTTCGATACGACATTCAACGAAATTGTTATTCAGAGGCGAATAGAAAATGCCAATCATCCTGGCGAGCGTCGGAGCCGCTGAGAAATTGCTTACACGCTGGGGAGAACTTGGCCGTTCCGTTACTACAAAACGACCACCACCGACATCCCTGCTGCTTTCAAAAGTCCTCTCCCAGCTACCACCCTTTTCATTGTTGAGGACGGCGACACCATTGGCGCCATAACAAATGAGCCCAATCATCCTTCTTTCTCATCTTCCTCTTTTTTTTTTTCCAGCACCCGAAGTGTGTTCTTCTTTATATTCTCTTTTCTTCTCTCGTCTTTAATTATCTTTTCATCTTTTCAATTGTATGTTTCTTTTACTCTTTCCTTCCCTTATATATTGTTGTTGTTGTTGTTGTTGTTGTTGTTCTTCTTCTTCTTCTTCTTCTTCTTCTTCTTCTTCTTCTGTTTAGATATATATTACGGACAGCACCGTACACCACAAAGCCACAAGTAAAACGCTTCTAATAACAATTGAACTATACTTGTGTTACAAATATCTGCGGAGTAAAAGCCTATATTAGCCCCCTCCTTGAGTAAACGCGTAAATAGATTTACCTAGTCCAGAATAACCCCTGGGATATTACTAGTCCGGCCTATTTCAAGGTATAAAATAATCCAGTTTAGATTATTCCACTCCTTCCTCATCATCATTAACCGACGTTAGTTACATGGGATGTTTTCTTACCCCAATTTTTAAAGTACTCATAGCGGAGAATCAGCCTAATAAGCCATATATCCGAATTATGAAGGACAGAGCTTGCAACACAGTCAGATCAGAAACAGGACAAAAACATTACAGGTTCGTCAAAGACACCGGAACAAAGAACGCGATATTTATGCCTAAATGTTATCAGAAAGAGCAATACAAATGTAAAAAAATACTTGTACCTGTATTTATATAGTATACGGAAATGCATTCGATAAAGCACGCCACAAATATCTGTTGGAACGGCTCAGCGACGAAGTCATATTTGGGAAGATTATTAGAATAATCAAGAAACTATACGTGCAGCAAACCGCCTGCATACGGATAGAAACGAGTTCAGTAGATATACAAATATAAAAGATGTATAAGGCAAGGTTGTGTCTTCTCACCGGACTTATTCAAGCTATACAGCGAGACGATACTGAGAGAATTAGAACACTTACAAGGAATCATTATTAGCGGCTACAATCTTAACAGCGTAAAATATGTAGATGACACAGTGTTGATGGCAGACACGGAAAGGTAACTCAAAACTCCTACAGAAGTTAGTGAAGGAAAGCGATAAGAAAGGATTAAACATCAACAGTAATAAGACAGAATACATAGCAATTAACAAATGGATGATATCAAAATTCAAATTACAAATAGGAGATAAAAAAATCAAACAAGTACAAAAAATTGAATAGCAGGGAATTGTTTTAACAAAGTGCGATACTGAAATCCAAATGCGCACTGCGATAGCCAAATATGCTTTCCAAAATCTAAGCAAAGTACTAAGAAACAGGAGAAACAAAGAAAAAAATATGTTCTGTCATCCTATATGGTAGTGAATGCCGAACAATCTTCTCAAAAAGAGGAAAGAGGACTTGCAGAATTTTATACTCACAAGGCAGATTGTAGGCAATAGGGACAGAGAAAAACAACGCTTGTGTAAATGGCTCGTAAAACAGGGCTTGTGAGAAATGACAAAAGGACAAAAGTTATTAAGAGCTAAAAACCACAAGAAATTGTGGAGAACCGTGATCGCCTACGTCCCGAGGAGACACGCCATACGAAGAAGGAGAATTGCTAGTTGGCAACTTGTTTCTTTTGATCTCTTCTACTACTCTCTTGACTCGGTATGTTTCACGCGGTGTGGTGCAGTTGTAACTCTGTTGTGTTGGGCAGAAGCCAGAGGACCATCCATTTTCGGAAATCCGACGTGGCTGATGCAGAGTTAATCCCATGACCAGCCGTAATTGCATGATCGCTGCGCAGCTGAGCAATGGAGCAGCTCTCTCCATATATTTCAGTTGCGTATGAATATCTGAGTCTCTGTAAAGGATATTTCAGTCCGTTGATTGTCCGACTATTTTCCTCTATCTAACTTTTCTTCTGTTTGTCGTTCTCGTGCATCTCCATACACACACACACACACACACATATATATATATATATATATATATATATATATATATATATATATATATATATATATATAAAAAAAAAAGAACAGTAAGATAAATAAAAAAAAAAAAAAAATTCAGACGACATCCATTCAACTGATGTCAGGTTTCATTGTAAAATACATCCCTACCCCTTACCAAATTGTAGCTAATAACTGATACAATGATACTGACATAAGGAAAATCAAGACATCCCTTGTTCAATTTAAGTAGAATATTCTGTAACCATGGAAACGTGATTTTAGCTGTGTCTTTAAAACCCGGTAATTTTAAAAGTTACTCCAAAATTCGCTTGAAGATGAAATGGAACTAATGCTTTTAATTTAATTGCAAAATTAAATTCAGGGTTTTTAGCTTCTATTTTTTTGAAACATGGTTGGAACTGTGTAGCGAAAAAAAACATATTTTAAATCAATTAATTTATAATATATATATATATATATATATTGAACAATAAAAAAAATTAAAATTTAAAATCTTTAGACACACTGGGTTGTAGATTAATATTCTTTCGATTTTTTTTATTATTATTCCATTTAGATTCCTCGACTAGTTTCGACCAAAATGGCCATCATCGGGAGGAGAAATATTTCTGCTTGCTGGTAGCAGTAAACTACAGAAATGAATGTCTTGATAGAGAAAATGAACTTTTGTCTGTAGTTTTCATTTATTTTTTATCTTTTTAACATGAATCTTTTAACATTCCTTGTGTTGGTCAAACAGTCTCTTTTAAGTTGTTATTTGAGATAAGAGCTGGATGGATCTATGCTGCTCTGAATCCCCTTGTTCAGTTTGACAGTTTTATTGGTCCTGGAGAAGGGATGTGTCTCTGTTAAGTGTTTGTGTGTGTGTTATTTGGTTCTTAGGAAGTGAGTGAGTATGATATGTGTAAGCGTGTATATTGCTGTGGGTGTGTGTTATCATTTGCCTCATTAGGGGGTGAGTAAGTATGATGTGTGTAAGTGTGTATATTCTTGTGGGTGTGTGTATAAGTGTGAGGCCTGAACACCTCCATAAGCATATCTGTCTTGTGTGGATGAGAAATGTGGCTAGGTCTTGATTTGTAGAGTTATATATTAGTACTATCTATATTGTTGAATTTATGGTTTAGCCCGGCTGGATATTTTGTTTTTAGACGTTGTATCCACTTATTTTCATGGGATTCTAAAATCTTTCTAATGCTATCTGTTCTGAACTTTTCTATTCTCTCTCTCTCTCTCTCTCTCTCTCTCTCTATATATATATATATATATATATATATATATATATATATAGAGAGAGAGAGAGAGAGAGATCATTAGTGGCAGCTTGTAGGATGGTAACGGGAAATTGTTTGCACTAATGCGATTCCCATACCATTTAAACTTTATCTTCTTTACCATGGTTATATGGTTTTCCAATGAGTCAGTTTCTACTTTGATGGTTTCTCATTCTGCGTCGTGTAATGCTCTCTATGTAGGATATACTTTGTATTCTGCGCAATCCCATTCTGAATTCTTCACTTTAAATCTGCTGTTAATGCCAACGTACGCAACGGTCTGATCTTTGATTTCAGTTTCGTTTGTTTTGTTTTACGGCATATCAAAACTCAATGGGTTATTTAATGCCAACGAAAATTTTATTGCTGTAATATTTTTTAAAATGTATAATATATTTCTTAAAATGTATAATATTTTTCTTCTTTCAAAAACCTATTTCTGGTAATATTTTTTTCTTCAAAAATGTATCGCTGGTAATATTTTTTTCAAAAAATGATGATAATTTTTATAGTTTTTCAAAAGATTTATTTCTGGTAATGTATTAAGGGCGATAATTTTTTACAGAGTATTTCTGGTATTAAAAACCTTTTTACACTTTCATAGTGTTTTGATTCCAGTTTAGGGGTTAACTATTTGCCCATAGCTGAGACCATAACAGGTGCTACCACCCAGGGTTAGGGTGGAACTGGGAACACCAGCAATTAAGAGGTGGTTCCACGCCTCTCAGAACCTCCTGATCAGAGGCCTTGCTGTTGGATGTAGTTTATCGTCTTACCCAGGACGCGGATGTAGTTTATCGTCTTACCCATAACACGAAAGTATTTTATCGCCTTGCCCATGACGTGGATATATTTTATCGTCGTACCCAGGACGCGGATGTAGTTTATCGTTTTACCCAGGGCGCGGATGTAGTTTATCGTCTTGCCCAGGACGCGGATGTAGTTTATGGTCATACCCAGGACGTTTGATTTGAGTCAGATATTCATGTCGTTTAAAATGTTTCTTAGTTTTGCAACAGCTACCAATATTTGTCCTCCTCTTGAAATGATTTCTATTCTGGTGTTCTCTTCACTGATAATTGAGCCAAGATATTTGAATTGATTCGATACTTTACATTGCTGACCACGGAATTTTATCTTGGTTGAAAGCCTATTCACATTGTTTGCCATGAGCTTGTTTTTTTTTCTCATTGGGCGGATGAGTCAGGACTCGGGATTAATCTACATGCAATAACTGCAGGATGTTTCATTCGGGTTCTTCTCCAGATTAACAAATTCCTCTTCTTTCTCATCTAGATCATCGATTTCGTCTGCAACGGGAAGTTCGGTGATGTTACGACCTTCGATGCTGACAACGCCCTGGTGTTCATGATGCGCTCAAGGAAGTCGTTAATGATAAGCGTTTAACATCTTCCTTGAACGCACCATTATTGAAGTCGTTGTTACAACCCCGGGCCAGTTT